AAAAAAAAGGGGATTTTAAATAGTGTGTGAAAATATCTAGCCTAGACAGGACTCGCAGCAATGGTTTTAAGTTGGAAAAATTCAGATTCAGGAAGGATATAGGAAAGTACTGGTTTGGTAATAGAGTTGTGGATGAGTGGAACAAACTCCCAAGTACCGTTATAGAGGCCAGAACGTTGTGTAGCTTTAAAAATAGGTTGGATAAATACATGAGTAGATGTGGGTGGGTGTGAGTTAGACCTGATAGCTTGTGCTACCAGGTCGGTTGCCGTGTTCCTCCCTTAAGTCAATGTGACCTGACGTGACTAGGTTGGGTTCATTGGCTTAAGCCGGTAGGAGACTTGGACCTGCCTCGCATGGCCCAGTAGGCCTTCTGCAGTGTTCCTTCGTTCTTATGTTCTTATGTTCTAACAATCTAAATGAGGCCTAACCAAGGTTGTATAGAGTTGAAGAACAACCTGAGGACTCCTATTATTTATGTTTCTTGATATGAAGCCAAGGATTCTATTAGCTTTATTGCGAACACTTATGCACTGTTGTCTTGGTTTCAGATTACTGCTAACCAGAACTCCTAAATCTTTTTCGCAATCCGTAATATTAAGATCTACATTATTTAGTTTATATGTGGCATGGTTATTGTCCTGTCCAACATTTAGAACTTTGCATTTGTCAATATTAAACAGTCCTTCAGCCTGGATACGATGTGTTCATTCTCAAGGTAGTAATGAGAACTAGATCCTTTCTCGGACTTAGTTCTCATTACTACCTGAGAATATTAGACTCATGGTAAGGTAGTCAGTCTCGCTGCTCTCACAGAAACTAATAGAATAATATTTACGAAAGTCATGGCTCTTGTTTTTCTATGTAAGTAGATAAGCTAACGCAGTGATTCCCAGCCTGGTTCTCGTTTTCCTATCAACGAATTGTGCTGAAGCAATCGTTCTCAGCCATTTATGACTTCAAAAAATCTCTTGGTTCCCCACATGAAAAGGCTCTCCTTATGCATACTGTTACTTGAGAGAAACTCTGTCTCTGGCTGGAGAAGTAATACTTGCTGCAGTAACAGCGGTCTCTACCAGGGGTCCGCGACCCACACGTTGAGAACCACTATTATAGCAAACCATTATAAAATTACGTAGTTATCAGCTCGAATAAGATAACTGTTCTTAAATATGAAATAAAAGTAAGTATCTCTTAAATGGTTAAAGTAATCTGCTTAAATTTTAATACACTGAATAAATAAGAGGATTAACAGATTCATTTTTTATAGTGATGCGCCAGGTTTTTTGCATGACATTTCCCATTTTTTATATAACTGGTAAATTTGAACCTAGTGATCTAAGGTAAAAAGGAACCTTCCTTTAGGTAATATGCATCAGTGATGAGAATTTGAAGCCAATACAAAAAGCCATGTGATAAGTGGTTTTAAAACCGACAAGTTGATGATTGAGACATTTATGTAACATATGGGAATCTTTATTGAAGAATCTGTATAGCCCTTGTGGCTTAGCGCTTCTTTTTGATTATAATAATAATAATTTATTGAAGAAACGTTTCGCCACACAGTGACTTCATCAGTCCAGTACACAGCAGGAAGGTGTAAGACTTTGTATTGGACTGATGAAGTCACTGTGTGGCGAAACGTTTTTTCAATAAAGATTCCCATATGTTGCGTAAGTGTCTCAATCTTCAACAAAAAGACATGCTCGAGGTGTCGCCTGGAAACCAATATCCCGGTTAAGAACATAAGAACGTAAGAAAGAAGGAACACTGCAGCAGGCCTACTGGCCCATGGGAGCTGGTCCAGTTCTCCAACCGGTTGAAGCCAACGCCCTAACCTGGTCAGGTCAGGTCACATTCCCTTAAGGAAGGAGCACGGCAGCTGACCTACCAGCACACGCTAGTCAGGTCCAACTCACACCCACCCACACCCACTCATGTATTTATCCAACCTATTTTTAAAACTGCACAACGTCTTAGCTTCTATGACGGTACTCGGGAGTTTGTTCCATTCATCCACAACTCTATTACCAAGATTTCCTATATCGTTCCTGATTCTGAATTTTTCCAACTTAAAACCATTGCTGCGAGTCCTGTCTTCGCTAGATATTTTCAGCACGCTATTTACATCCCCTTTATTCATTCCTGTTTTCCATGTATACACCTCAATCATATCCCCCTAATTCTATGCCTTTCTAAAGAGTGCAGATTCAGGGTCCTCAGTCTATCCTCATAGGGAAGATTTCTGATACATGGGATCAACTTTGTCATCCTCCTTTGTACGTTTTCCAGTGCATTTATATCCATTCTGTAATACAGTGACCAAAACTGTGCAGCATAATCTAAATGAGGCCTAACCAAAGTTATATAGAGTTGAGGAACAACCTGAGGACTTCTGTTATTTATGCTTCTTGATATGAGTGTGTATCCTCTCCACACATACACACACACATTACATTCATTGTTTTTCTTCTTCCCAGTTGTTATAGCAACCTGCGACACATACACGTAACCTGTGTATTATGTGATGATGGTTGTGGAGGTGTTATGAAACACAGACAAGTAAGGATCAGTGTATACTGAATGTAAAGAGAAGTTTGCACGATTTATCTGCCTTCATATAGAAAGAAATAATTAGCCAGAGTGCAAAACGTTTAACAAGCTTCCACTTAACACTTGTATAACAGAACATTATTACTTCCCTGGGTAGTTGTTGGCTACTATCCTATCACCTCTATACATGGTCCTGCCCACCACCACCACCTCTAATCATGCATTCCTTCAGTTCTTAACAGAGTTGTGAGTACTCACGTGATGCCGTAGATGGGCTGCTGGCGGGTGACTCGCCTTTGGGCACTACCTCGGTGCCTCTCCAGCTCCTGGTCCTCCTCTAGTGGTAAGGCACCACCACTGGGGGACACCACCACCACCACCACCGCTAACACCATCGCCGCGCGGAAAAACCTTCCCCACATGTTTGCTATCACTTCCCTGACGCGGACTCCAACTGCGGTGGTGACGGAGTGAGTGAGAGCGAAGGGAGAGTGCGGCGAGAGAGAGAGTTGGGACGGCACTGGACCGCTGGCACTC